TTTTTTTTTTATTTTTTCCGAGGTACAATTTTTACATCACTTTTACGTCGTAATGACATCATTATCATGATATAGACATCACACATACGTCATATTGACGTCATAAATGTCATGGAGACATAATACTGACGTCATGACAACGTCATATTTTTATATCAGAGTTTTACTTCAGGAAGTGCAAAATAATGAGTCACATATGATTCATTCGTGACTTATATCTTACGTGAATCCTGACATAGCCCAATGTTATTTTGACGTCACATTGACGTAAACGTGTTTACTAGGTAATTGTCTGCAGGGTCGACCGTTTTTTTGATTTTTCACGTCATAGTTTAAAAATTAAGGGGTCAGATAACCTTGTTATCTAACAGGCACCTTGCTAACTATACATTTGACAACATTCAACTATATCAATTGCATACCTCAATTGAATCTAACGTAAATGCAATTTCTTATAATAGTTTAGTTGAGTCTTATACACTATTGTACTCACCTCGGGTGCCATGTAATCTGGTGTACCACAAAAGTTATCAGCAGTTTTGTCTAGATATATTTGAAGTTTGCACATTCCAAAATCGGCTATTCTGATGTGTCCTTCAAAATCTAGCAAAACATTATCTAGCTTTAGATCTCTGTAAACAATGCCTTTTTTATGAAGAAAATTAAGTCCACACCAAATTTCTGCGGCATAAAACTTGGCACGAAACTCAGGAAATCTTCCTGACATTTGTATATGAAACATAAGATCACCTCCATTCAGGTACTCCATTACGAAAAAAAGATGTGATTCAGTTTGAAATGTACAAAATAAATGACAGAGGTAAGGATGTCTCGTTGCTAGAGTGAGTACTTTTCGCTCTATTAATATACTCTCAATGTCATCATCTTCTGTGACAACATTTTTCTTTAGACATTTGACAGCATAGACAAAATCTGTGTCATTTAACTCTGCAAGTAATACTTTACCAAAACTACCTTTTCCCAGAATCTGAAACAAAAATTTTGAAACGTGAGTGGTACCCATGCATTAATATCGTAAATTGCAACATATTCTTACAATTTCTGTAAAAATTTAAATATTTTGGAGTGGATAAGAAATGTTATCTTCAATAAATAATTAGGAAATTAATAAAGTTGATATAGGCTAACTCAACAAGAAACGAATAATAAAAAAAAAAAAAAAAACGAGTGAGCCTCACAGACATAAGGTCACAATAGAAGTGAAACTTTTTTTTAATCGTCAAGTTGGTTTATATTATATATATATATATAATATAGCATCGCATATTTTGAAATACAAAAAAAATAATTTTATCAATTTTCCGCAATTTAAAAAATAAAACAAAATTATACTCTTGTCAATTAGAATCCCGAATAAAATAGACCCGAAAAAAATTTTTTTAACTTCCCGCCAGAGTTGCAAATAATGCATTAAATTTCTTAATGCATTAGTAGTCTAGTCAACAAGTGCCTTTTTGGTCAACTTTTTTCAGCAGTCTCCGAAAATTATGATTGAGGTGTCATTCGATTCAGAATGGAATCTAGATGGTTTTCGAAAAACAATGAAGTTTTGCAAGTAAAAATTACAAAAGTTATTAACAATTAACTAAAAAAAAGGGGGGGTTTAGTTTTCTGCAAATATCTCATAAACTAATATAGGTTTTTCAAATTTGAAAAAAGATTCAAAAAGAGGAGGAAATTTCCTAAAAAAAGTTTCGACTCCTGGAATTGTAGGACTAATATTAATAATTTTCCCATAGAGTTGAAAATACGCACGAAAACGGGTACTCTGGTTTGCGCAAGCCACGCCCCCTTCGGACCTTTAATGAATAAATATTATTTAAACTTATTAAATATGAAAATTAAAAATTGAAAAAATTCAGGTGCCTTCAGGATAGATCAATGAATAATAATCCGTGGTCAAAAAATTTTTATCGCGATTTTTCAATAAGTTATCCATTAATTAATTAACAAGTTTTTGTACCACGAACATTTACATTGCAAGTGCGATAATTGTTAAACTATTAATCTAAGAATTTTTTCCTTTCGTGGAGCTATTTTTCAAAGGTCTTAGAATAGATTCCCGTTGGAAAAATTTAAAAATTGTCAATTTTCATTTTGTTATTAACAATTTACTAAGGTGAAAAATTATAAAGCTTTATTAAACATTGAAAAAAATTTTTTTTTCATAATATTATTATTGATCCGTTTTCTTATGATCAGAAGCTACTTAAAAATGATTTTTAATAATTTTTATCTCCTATTATTTAAAAAATTGTTATTATTGGCGCGCAGTTCAGGGCTCTTAAACTTCTGCCCGTGTAGTGTATACTATTTTTCTTTATAGCCGGTCGAAAGTACAAAAAATATTGTGTATATTATATCAAAAGAAGTTGATGCCTGCCCCCGACATTTGCGGCACGAGCGAAGCGAGTGCTGCTGGTCTTCCATATTGAAGAAACTGATTTTCTTGTGCCAAGAGAATAAATTCTTGAGACAAGAAATATTTACTTGAATCAAGAATAATTTCTTAACTCAAGAATTTATTCTCTTGACTTAAGAAAATCATTTTCTTCAAAATGGTATTCTTGGTTCAAGAGTTTGGCTCTTGAGTCAAGTCAATTTTTTATCAGTGTAGAAAAGTTTTTGCTCCCGCTGTAACAAAAGACGTATGCGTAGCTCTACCAATGCACGAATCTTGAACTTTCTGCTTTAAAAAGATGCAAAAATTGCGTACTTTCGACCGAGGTATAAAGAAAAATTATTTAAAATTCCTTATTCCATGTATAACATAAAAAAATTAAAATAAAAATGAAGCAAAGAAACGTCATTTAGATTTTACGAAAAGACACAAGTTCCTTTTTTTTTAATTTCCTCAAATAATGTCTTTCAATTTTACAATACAAGTACTTTTTCAATTCTAAATTGTTTCAACTATAGTTTATAATTCATACTTATTGCTCAATAGTTAGCGATAATAGAGTTTAATAATCTTTCCCTTATGTCTAACACCACAGGGATCGGGTTGGGGACAACTAATTATAAAGCATATCCAGAAATTTCTTTAAACAATACATACAGATTCTTATTTTCCATCTTACAATTTTACTAATGATATATATACTCGAATACACTTAAAGATTATCATCTATTTGTAACATGTTTTACTGTTTCTTGCTTTTATTTTCATATATTCCATCTAAAATTACTTCTATGAAGATAGTTTTCTTCATTACTGTACTATCACATTAACTTTATTATATAATTTAATTTATTGATATACATAATTGTCACTGCGAATATAATTGATAGTCTACGATTTTTATGTCCTTGTTTTTAAACATTTTAAACAATTAGTGGGAAATAAGGACCAAGTTCTTGTGGAATTTTTAACTTCCCGCTAAGAAAATTGAAAATTTTTTTATTTTGTTGCAAATATTGGCAATAAAAGACATACATATTCCAGAAAAACTTGGTCTTTACTTTCCTATAATTATTTTAAGTATAATTGATAGTGTACATGTTATTTTATAGAAGTGTTCTCCAAATGATTCTTCTTTGAGTGATTTAGCTGAAAAAATGTTATTAATTATTAAAAGTTGGATATAAGAACATAATTATTTAATAACAATTGCTCCATTTCAATACCCAGTAATGGACAATTTAAAATATGATATATATGTAAAAAAATATTATTATAATATTTTCTAAAGTAGCATACTATTATGTTATTGGAATAATATACATAATTGCTTCAAAACAAAAAGAAATCATGAATTTTAGTATTTCCGATTTTTGAAATGATTAACTGTTGATAAACCAGAATTAATTACTTACGATTATTATTAAGTCATGAATATTTCCTTCCATTTTATCTTGTGTCCAATACCAAGTTTTCGAAATATGTTTGTTAAAATTTACTCAATATTGATTTAATATTTTTATCACAAATCAAAGTTATCCAATGACTATCCAAAATAATATTTAAATTTCAAAATCAAGTGTAGTATTCCATCACCTGTAATTCAAAAAAAGGATTGTGAACGATTATTATATTTCTATTATCTGCATTAAAAAAATGAATTTTTCATGAATCTTCACCATAATTATTTGATCTTAGCAACTGAAATGAAAAGAAAATATATTATTACTTTTTTCAATGATTAACGTAATTTTATGAGATTGCAGAACATTTTTCTTGTAAAAAAACTTTAAAATTCCCTGAGTTCAAGCTGAACTCTATAAAAAGACGTAAAATTTTTTAAAGTTGAAACATCTACTAAAGCCTTGATGCCATAAAGATTTTAATAATTCTGTAATATCTTTGAATTCTCAACTGTCCTAAATTTTTATAGAATTCAATGAATTTTTAAAGCAGCTTAGAAATTAAAAATTTAATTACAGTATTTTAGCTTTACAAAATTTTATCAAAATTTTTTTTTTTAATAATATTTGTTGATTAGTTTTAATGAATACATAGGTGAGTAATGTTAGTTATGGCATACTGCCATACGCAAGAAAACCCTCCACCTTCCCCCTATTAATCTCTTTAAGTTAATAGACCCTCTGACTTTTTTACGTTGTACACAATGTTATCATATTTTTTTTTTTTTAATTTCTCATACAGCAACTACGTGGTGTAAATTATGGCATACTGTTGCCCGTAAAGAACCCTCCACCTTCCCCCTATTAATCTCTTTAAATTAATAGGCCTTCTGAATTTTTTACATTGTACATAATATTATCATGTATTGTTTGAAGTTAAATTACATTCAATGCAATCATTAATAAAGTTTTGGAAATATTTCATTCCGATATCTAACATATATCATGCCAAGATACAGAAATACAAATTGAAATTTTTTCTGTAATCAATCACTTATAATAAGTCAACTTTCAGTCGTAAAAAACTAGCAACAACATCTTCAAGTTTATTATTCATTTACAATTCACTCATTATTGTTACTATCTTAGAAATGCAATCATTTTGTAAATGATTTTTATTCAAAAATTTGTGATATCCAAATCGAAAGTTTACTCATTCTGTAACCTGCTTGGGAAACAAAAATAATTTTTTTTTTTTGGATAATTTTAATTAAATGATCACGCATTTCACGACTACTTAAAGAGTAATTAACAGTCGATGGATCTTCTCCTAAGGCTATTGAAGTAGCAAATGCAGCTGCGTAAACTCCGCAAATAGTAAAATCGTTTCCTTGATTAGTTACCTTCTTGTAAATAATATCTTCTGGAGAAATCCAAGGGTATCGATTGTTTACATATACAATTTCATCAGAAGACAATCCTTTTTTTTTTATCTCCTGACAAGCTATCATATATATAAATATTACAGCCATCATAATGTAAACAAGTCCAATGACCAGATGTATTTCCACCAACTATTTGCAAATCATGATTTGTATCTGACGGTGTTTTAAGACTAGATATTACAGTATAAAATACAGGAAAGGTATTATAATCTGAATTATCAGCCAATATTTGTAGAAAATATTCAATTGATTCATCATTTAACATAGTCTCAGAATCTCTAACATTATCTATAACTTTTTCAGCTGATATATTAGCTCGAATATTATCTATACATGCTATTTGATCTTCATCTAATAAATTAGAAGGTTCTTCTACTACTGGAACCCACTGATTAGACACTGAATTTGGCTGATTAGACACAGAATCATTATCACTGACATCACTTGAATCTGTTTCATTTCTAGGGGAATCAGGAGATTGAGTCATACGCTTTGTACGTTTTGGACGAGACTGACAAACGCTTGTGCGTTTCTGTCTAGTTTTCTTTTCTAGCAATGCAGCTTTCTTTTGAGCAGCAGTTTGTTGAGCTTGAAGAACATAATCAGGATTTCTAATAGGCATTTTCCGAGCTAGCCTACTATCAACAATTTCTGGTAACAAGCAATCGTTAAAAAATCTGGTCAATTTTGGCTCCATTTTTATTTTCCAAAATTCATCATCTTTTGGCACATTGACATATTTTATTCCCAAAGGAGTCCACACAGTAAATAAACAATATTTTCGCTCTGTTATATGTAATTGTCCTTGAACTTGATAATAGTACTTATGAGTCGTACTCATTTCATTAATATTTGATTTTTTAAATATACTACCATAGTGACGAATACTTTTTATCGCATCATTCGGAGTTAGATTATTTGCTGATGCAAAGCATTTTATCTCGATAATACCGTCAGTATCAATAAGACCATCTGGTGATGCACCCAAAAACTCGATGTCTTTGTCAATAAAAAGACCACATGGAATTATTTTCTTTTTTATTTTCTTCTCTAATTCTTCTATTGCTTTTTTTTCATTTTCTCTTCCAAATAAATTACTTTCAGTATTTAATTGTGGAGAGAATCGAATTTTTTTTACAATTCCAGCACATGAAGTTGACTCCCTCTTATTACAAATTTCACCAAAATGTGATGCTGTAATAATATCAGCTCGATACATATACCAGTTACTGCAGGTACTTTGATTAACAGTTTCTTTTTGAATATCGTCCCGTTTCATTTGACGTTCTTTCAATTTTTTAAGATGGTCATCTTTACGTAAATTGTAAACAAGTAATGAAACATCTGCGGTACTAGCGAATGGCCCATAATCCTTATCTGTACCGTAATGCCGCCGACGTTTCCGCCCGCCATTTTCTCGATATTTTCTGGTATATTCGTTTTGTTTATGCCTGCTTTCTTCCATTTTTACTACAATTGCAGGAACTGGCAATTCTAAGTAATTGAGAATTACTGACAATACTGGATTGTTATTAAATTGTATCATCGCACAAAGTGCTCTTAACTCGAAAGAATTGCTCATACTGTTATTGACACGCCTACCACCATGGAATTTGTTCGCCATCGAATTGTATAATTCAGCGGCGTTGCTAGTGAGATTTATTAATAAACTACTAACATTTAAAGCTAGTCGTGTAATTTGATTTTCAACTTCTTGAAACATTCCAATTTTTTTATAGAATTCAACATTATTTTTGGAAATACTTTTACAAATTTCATTCAATTCACCATTGTCATTTTTTTCACAATTTCTATGTTCTTCAAAAATATGACATGGAGTATTATTAATATCATTTAATAGACGACTTGTTTTTTCTTGTACAGAACCAACTTCATCTTTGCGACGTACCATTGCTTTTTCAATATGCACACGCATTTTCAGAGCACTGGCTTTTATGTCATCGTGTATGCCTTTAACTGATCCTCGATTAACAGCGTAAAGAAGTTTTGTTTTTTTAGCTACTTCCTCGACGTGATCGCAGAAGTTGCGAAACAAATGATTTTTGCACTCGATTTTTTCCACCCAAACGCTGTACTCTGCATATGGATCATTGTCTATAATCGATTTATAAACACTGCTATCACCGTCACCGACAACATATTTATAAATGAGTTCATGCATTTCAATGCTATTTCTAAAACCTTCTGTAATTATATCAGTTTCCATGCTCGTTGAAGTTTGATCACGGCCCCAATTTTCCACACAATTGTGCTTTGAATTACGTTCACATCCAGTGCAGGCTTTATTTCTTAGTACAAGACCTGTACGCTTACCAATAATCACCGCAGTACCTGATAGGGCATCATATCTTCCTCCTTTATATGATCTCTTCGACCAAGCACCATCTACAATAACCGTAATAAAAGGCCGATCAGGTTGGCCATTCCTACCTTTAATAATATCACCAGCTTTAAGTGCTAAATCAAGTTCCAATTGACCCGCTTTCTTCATTTCCTCCCTTGATACGTTATAAATTGTTTTTCCAATTTTATCACGACATTGACGGTATGTTACATGCGACATACAAGGAATATTCATATCTGTAAGTTGTTCTTCCAGGGAGGTAAATCCAGTTCCTGAAATTAATGTTCCTAGTGTTGCAGCTTCATTTAAGTTCATACTATCTGCAGGCTGTTCAGGATCAGTCCAGACTTTAGCAGTTTTTCCGCATTTTTTACACTTCCAAGTGAGAAGTGATCTTAAGCCTTTATTGAATACTTTACATATTTGAAGATCTTTAAAAAGACCAGGACATGATGAATGGTTATCAAATATTAAATGAAGTTCTTCCATCAACCAAAAGATGTCTGATATTCGTCGACCTTTTTTTTCAGGTTCTTGAAAATACAATTCATTTATTGGTTGATCGTCATTATTTTGAGATTCTTCGGATTCTTCGGACCTATCATCACCAGAACTTGAAATGTTATCAGACTCATCTATATCACTTTTATCGCTTTTACCATGAGAATCATCAGAGGTATGTTGAAATTCTTCAGAGGAATTATATTCAGAATTACTTTCAAATTCTTCACGCTCAGTTCTATTATTATTGCTTGAGTTATCATCAGATTCTGAATTACTTTCATTATAGCTACAATGGTCATGATGTTGAGAGTTAGAAACTGAATCAGAAAGGTCCATTGATTGTTCAGAGTGACGATTAGCATTCGTATTGTCTTCATCACTAATTTCCATTGTTAATGGAGTATTAGGACAGTGATGAAGTATTACATCTATTTCTTCAAACTGAGAAGAATGAGCTGAACCATTGCAATCTGTAGATTTTTTAGATTGCAGTAAAGCTATGGAAGAATTATTAAGCTCTTCTAATTTCCTACCTTGCAATTCAACAAAACTTTTTTCTAAAGTTTTAGGTTGATTGCATGGTATTTTATCAGTTTTAGATTTTGCTTGGTACACTTTAAGACTATTTTTACACAGTTTGCCATAATTTCTGGTAGGAATAAAAGTATTCTTTTCACAACTAACATTAGTTGAACCAAACTGAAAAATGTGATTATTATCATTACTATACCTAACTACGTCAAACACATGGACATTCTTATCAGTACATTCATTTGACGTGATGTGAGAAACAGCTTTATTATTACTTATCATTTTTGATTGATTTAAAGTCGCTAAATCATTACATGCAGGTTCTAAAATAATAGCATTAAGCGAGTCCCACTCAGCTGATAAGTTATTTATATCAGTTATATCAGCACACTTTCTAGATCGAAAGGAATCACAGCGTTCAGGCACATGCATATTATTTTTAAGCTCTACATTTCTACAAGCATGCAAGTTTTGTTCACTCATTCTAATGTCTAAAGCAAAAACAGCTGGACTACAACGCTCATTAGAAAACGAAACATGATCGACTGACATATTTTGAGTCAAATTACTATCAGTTTTCTCATTCATACTATCTAATGAACTATTGCAGGGAAGCGAATCACATGCTGCATGCAAATTTGAAAGGTTGTCAGTAAAGTTTTGAACAAGTGGCTCGGGACTTCCATTTTTATTTACTAAAACAAGCTCTTTTCCAGCAACATCAATTTCAGAGACAAAATTCTCATCTAATCCGTTACAAGGGTCTAAGAAGTGTTGCTCTGGAGATTTTAGTACTGTATTAAACTTACTAACCTTTTCAACGCCATTGTCGCTATTATTAAAACCATTAACAAAACTATCTTTCGCTGTAATTAGTGATCGGTCCAATTTTAACACCTCTCCTTCGGAATCATCAACCAGCTTGGAAATATTATCTGCTATTTTACGCCTAATAAAAAATAAAAGTTTTTAAAATTTTGTGGAGTATATATAAATGTGTTGGAAAAACTCATAACTTGTAAAAATTTGCGAATGATAATTTCAGTTCTTCATGAAATTTTATTGAAATAAAAAAAATTGTATAAAAATAATCCATTGTCATTCATTTTTATCAGATATTATTGTGCGTCACAAAAAAATTAGCATCACACTTTGTAAACCTTCCCGTGAATTTAAATTTCATAAAATTTTAAATAAAATTCCAACAGAAAAATATAATAAAAATTCATCAGCCAATGATAAATTATTATTTTCATAAGCATGAATATTGTAAACATGAATATTTTTTTCACTAATGTTATCGACTGGTGAAATGATAGCTACAAAAAGGGATGAGGTATATTCTACAATTTATGATACCACTTTAACTTTAAAATTTGTTCACACTATTTATTTCTAAAACTTATTATTAAAAGTATTTCCAATTTACCAAGATATTTTTCGATTAATTAATTCAAATTTTGTAACTGTGCTATTAGTAATGGTCAGACAGAATACAATAACAAAAAAAAAACTTTTCAAATTTTGAATTTTTTTAATTTTTTTGATAAGCAGTTAAAAAGTGTTTGCGTTAAAAATTATTTCTTGTATTGAAGTAATAGAAATTTAATTTGATGCAAGAGTAGAAAACAAGAATTGAGCTTGTTTCTTCAGCATACTTTTGAGAAATTCATTATTGCAGTAGCTTTGCAATAGTTTGAAGTAATACTACTATTATAATACTACTATTTGATACTACTATTTGATACTACTATTTAATACTACTATTATAATACTACTATTTGATACTACTATTTGATACTACTATTTAATACTACTATTATAATACTACTATTTGATAATTACTGGTAAATATTTTTTTTTTCATTAACAATAAATTTACAAAATTTTTCCAGTATGAGTAAACTAATCTTACGTGCTTATTAATGTTTTCTAATAAAAACACACTCATAAATCATTTCAGTTTTCAACGTGTTAAAATTTTTTAACTTTGTAGTAACAATCAATTCATTATTTACAAATATATAGGAAACGTGAGTAACATACCTATCCAGACGTTTATTTTTTTTTTTTTGAATAGTTGCGCCTTTTTCGATTTTTTTCATTCCCCATTGCATCAAGTAATAACTTGCTAAGCAATAAATCTGTTTGTAAAAAATAAAAATTACAATTAACTCTTGAAAAAAAAAAAGAATGAATTATCAAATTAAATTTTGATTTTTTACACTTATAAGAATTATTAAATTATAGTTTCATTAATGTTTTGGCAAATTTTTTCATAACAAAAAAAAAAGTAAAATATGCTTCCTTGAATACCTGAATTGGCCTTTAAATTTATTATTGAATTTTTATTAATTATATAGTTTATTTATCGAGTGGATTTTTTGAACCCCATCAAGTAATTACTTATATCTCCAACTCTTATCAAATGCTTCTCCTAAAAAATAATAAAATCATTAATAAAATTTTATATTTTTATAAGATATTAAAAAAAAATTACGAAAATTATTTAATTAATCATTTTGGTAAATTATACTTTACAAACTATTGTTTTACCAAGAAACTTTAGACTTTAATTTAGCAGACTCTTCAAAAGTTTTGTCACTTTATGGAAATCCGTATCGCTGACAGAAATCCAACTCAAAATCATAAATGATCCTAAAAATGATAAAAATATAACATAAATAAAAAATTTTAATAATCATCTGTTTATTTTGATTATCAATATATATACCTGTTTGTAGGTTTAACTTTGCTGTAGAGCCTGATGATTATGAGATTTTATTTTGTGTCCAAAATAACTATGTGGTGAATAATTAGTTGGCTCAGTATTATTACGTTAATATATTATTTTATTAATATTTATCTGGCGAGCTAATAAAATTTATTCTTAGGTATTTTACTAACTTGTACAAAAACAATAAGAATATATATTTCTATATATATATATATATATATATATATATATATATATATTATTTATACTAGACATCGATTCTGCGTACTGTGAGCGTCATTTTAGTAATGGCGGGACTTAGTAATTGAATATAACACATACTGAAAAAATGTATGTGAACGCAATGATATTTTAGTGATGAAAAATATATGTAGCTAAATAAAAAAATTATTGTTTTAAACCAAACAATAGATTTACAAATTAAAACAATAAACTTAAAAATTGTCAGTGCAGTTTTTTCATTTTTTGGCAGGCAACGCTGACTGATCAACCGACCTGATGATGGCGCGACTATCATATACATATATGTATAGTGTAAGTATTGGTGAAACAGGTGTGTAGTAGTATACGAATAAAGTGAAGATCAAATTTCTACAAATAAACGTTAGAGCGTTGCACATTGTTTGAGGAAGCGGTACTGCGTATTAACACAAAGGAACATCAACGTTAAATCACGTAAAATTAAAATAATTGTTGTAAACGTGTATGCATCACAATGAAACGTAAGTAATTAATTTTTTATGTTAATATTTTTTGTACTGTTTGATAGATAAATATTTTTCTAAAACACGTATTTTTAGCAAGCATTAATGTAACACAAAATAAATTATTTTAATCTCATCAAATTAACAACGTGTTCCAATGAGTCAGTGTTTTAAATTATAAATAATTGTACAATAATCTTTAATCTAAGAATATAATTTCATTTTTTTATTTATTTTTCACTTAATATCAAAGCATATCTTGAAGATTAGTATGACAGCATGATATACAATAAGATTAAGGAAGTACACTGAGAGACAATTTTATTTAATAGTAATAAAATTTTATTACTATTTAATAAAACGTCTATTTTGCTAATAAAGAGAAAGGGGAAATAAACAAGTAGGTTAGGTTAGGATGTCTCCTTAAAAGATCTTTATACTATTTATTTATTAAAAGATTTTCCTTTGAAAATATATTTAAATATATTATAATTAATTGGTGAATATTAATTTTTTTTTAAATTAATTGTTTTAATGACTTAATATTCGTATGAAAAACACATATTAGTATTTAATAAAATTTTATTAAATACTAATATAATTTTATTCGTATGGAATTAAATTTTATTCATATGGAATATAATTTAATTACTATTAACTAAGTTTTTTTTTCAAGTCCAAATAAACTTTTTTATTACTATTACATAAAATTGTCTCTCAGTGTACGAGCACCAAGGCAACTGTTGATAAAACGCTTGATTTTTTTTTAATATGAAGTTTAAATATGTCTAAATGAATTCCGAAAATTTGAAGGAGATTGCCCGATTATTTAAATAAATAATTAATATTGAAGTTGAGCAATTTAACATTGGTCTTATGTGGTAACTTCCAAACATTGATACATTACTGTATTTTTTCTCGTAAAACTGTTGGTGAATATATTTAAAAAACTTATGGATGAAAGTAAATATATTAGTGATAAATTTAATTCAAAGAAATTTACACTTGCCCGACTAATTAAAGTGTATTAATTAAAAGAAAAATAAATGCCGCCATTAGCCAATGTTGAATGTATATCTATATATTGAGAAAAATCATATGGTTACTGCTCTCCCCTTACCGCGCTAAAGTTGATACCTATCTCCACCCCGCCTAGCGCTCGTACTTTCTTAATTGTTTAAAAATTCTTTAAAATTATTTTGTGTTTAAAAAAAATGTTAAAAAATAATTTAATTTCATTACAATTCAATACTAGTTAATATTAATGAACGGTTTAGTACCTACTAAAACACGAACTTTTGTTTTAGGACGAAGTCAGAAGGAATATCGAAGCCCGACTCCGCCACGCCAGCGATCGCAGTCTACTACTAAAAATCGTAAAAAGTTAGAATCTCATGAACCAGCTAAAAAACAAGTGTCATTAACTAAAAAGACAACAAATAAGACGTCGAAACGAGATTTACAAACAGGAAACCCTGTAAAAGAGCTTAATACTCAGTTACAGCGGCAATCATACCCACCCACTACAAAATCCATGACTAATAACTTAAAGATGTCTACAACTGCATCAAAGATTAATCAAACGCGAGGTTTACCTAGATCACCAGTTCATCAATCATCTCATCAGCAGTCTCAAGTTCCGATGACATCAGGGACTCACGGTCCACATGGAAGTGTTATTCTAGAACCAAACGGCTCTTTAGTTAATTCAAGTATTGAAAACTCGCGTAGGACACCGACAGGACCTGTTCAACAACATACACAGCAGCAGTATGAAGTTCCGACAACATCTAGGACTCAAGATCCACGTGGAAGTATGATTTTAAACACGAAGATGGCTTTGGTTCATTCCAATGTTGATAACACGCATGGGACACCGACAGGACCTGTTCAACAACATACACAGCAGCAGTATGAAGTTCAGACAACATCTAGGACTCAAGATCCACGTGGAAGTATGATTTTAAACACGAAGATGGCTTTGGTTCATTCCAATGTTGATAACACGCCTGAGAGGATCTGTTCAACAACATACTCAGCAGCAGTCTCAAGTTCCGACAACATCAGGGACTCCACATGGAAATGTTATTCTGGAATCAAACGGCTCTTTGGTTAATTCAAGTGTCGACAACTCGCGTAAGACACCGACAGGACCTGTTCATCAACATACACATCAGCAGTATGAAGTTCCTATGACATCAGGGACTCAAGGTCTCCATGGAAATGGAGTTCGAGAGCCCAGGATGTCTTCTGTTGATTCAGGTGTTCACAACTCGCGTAGGACACCGACAGGACCTGTTCAACAACATACACAGCAGCAGTATGAAGTTCCGACAACATCTAGGACTCAAGGTCCACGTGGAAGTATGATTTTAAACACGAAGATGGCTTTGGTTCATTCCAATGTTGATAACACGCCTGGGACACCGAGAGGACCTGTTCAACAACATACACAGCAGCAGTCAGGTGATGTCAAATCAACGTATGGCACACAAAATAACGGAAAGACTCGCTTCCACAAGAATAAGAACTACAGAAAACGTCCAGCGGGATTCTTATCTGGTAAAGAGATGAGAGAGAAAATACTTGCGTTAGAGAAAGTACGTAAGACATTAATCTGTCGTAGTAGGATTTTTTTTTTCAATCAATTATGTTTTGTTTTATTTTTTTTCAAATTTTTATCTGTTTTATTTTTTATATTTCAGAGAATTGCATGTGACTCGGAAAAATTGAACCCGAACAAAAGTGTACAGCTTGTTTCCGAAGCCACGTCGCATCAAATGGAAATAAATAACAGCACTAGCGAAAATATGACCCAAGCTCAGAGCAGTCCTATTATGCAATCGATGTCTCCAAGTACGTCATCACCAGTACCGATGATCGCTTCGATGGCACCCTTCATTACTTCATTGCCACCAATGATGCAATCAATGTCTTCTTTAATACCAACAATGGCCTCTATAGTACCTCCGATAGGTCCTTTGATGCAGCCTTTGCTTGCCATGATGCCTCCAATGCAATCTAAGATGCCTCCAATGCAATCTAAGATGCCTCCAATGCAATCTATGATGCCAACTATGTCATCCTCGATGACATCTTTGCCATTTGCGACGCACCCCATGCAGCCAATGCTTCCAGCATCCTCTAATGTACTAGTACGAAGAATAGTCAGGGAGGTAATTGTATGGATTTTCCGTATTTACAATATTTTTGAAAATTAAAATCTTAATGCAAAAAAGTTTATTACACTTAATTTATCAGACATAATGAGGAACAATTTTTCTATCTTTTTAGATTTTTATTTAGTTAATTGAAGTTTTTGCGCCTTTTGAGATTACAATCTATCACGAAAGATGATAATATATTTTAAATATAAATAATAGTTTTTCTATGATGAGAGATAACAAGTGCAAATATTGAAGTTATAATTTACGATATTGAATATGATTAATAAAAAATATTTTTTCAAAGATTGTTAATTAAGGAAAAATAATGAAGAAGAAATATTCAATATTATTTAAAATTTTAATTTGAGTGATAGAACTTTTAGAGCCTTATAAGGCTATAATCTACATTAAAAACAAAAGTTATTATTTACTAAGTTTGAATAATAATTTTACCATGATGAGAAATAACAAGTTTAAATATTGATAGTACGTAATTAATGATCTTGCCT